GAGCGCCAGCTGCTCTAGAGGCAGGGAGAGCAGAAATGCAGCCACCTTCCCCCCCTCGCAAGCCTGCACCCAGGCTCCCGCTGCCGCACAGCTGTCTGGTACGCCCTGCCCAGGGCCTGGGGCCGGCTGAGGACAGGCGCTAGAGCCTGCAGCCCAGAAAGCCCATGTGGGGCGGGGCGGCTCGGCTGCCCTCCCGCCAGGCTGGAGCTGTGCTGCCAAGGGCACCAGGAAGCTCCGCCCCCCAGCTCCCATTGGCTGGGAATCATGGCCAATGAGAGTTGCAAAGGGCGGGGCCTGCAGGGGAGCATGGGACAGGGTGAAACCATCTGTTTCCCCCCACCAAAAGGGAGCTGCCTGACGTAAGTGCTCCCCAGTCCAGAGCCCCAGCCCTAAGCCCCCTCCTGCACGTCAGCCTCCTGCTCCAAGCCCGCTCCTGCACCCCAGCATCTCAACCCCAGCCAGGGGCCTCATCCCACCAACCCTGAGCCCCTCAGCTCCACCCACACCACAGACCATCCATGTGCAGAATGAACTGTTATGTGCACCAGTATGGAGGTGATGTGTCGCACGTCCCCTCCGTGTCGCACGTCCCCTCCGTGTCGGTGCAACAGCAGCATTCATTCCGCACATGGACATGAAAACTGGGAGGGACACTGGCCTGCCCTTCCCACCCCGTGCCGCACTTGGGCCATGGCCAGCAAGAGCCCCGGTCTCCGCCCCTGGGAGAGGGAGGGGCAGGCTGGTGCCGAACCGCCCCAAGAGCGGGGGTGTTGCTGTCACCTTTAGCTCCGGGGCGAAGGAGAAGAGAAACGTCTCCCCTGTGCCGTAAAAGCAGCGGCTGAGCCGGATGGCGGTGGAGGAGAAAGCCCCAAAGGTCTGGAAGGGAAGCGGAGGAGAGACGGTCAGTGAGGAGGCTCTGCAGCTGGTATCCAGGGCTCCGGCCAGGCTGGACAGGGGCCAATCCGACAAGCCCAGGCCGGTGCCATCCCTCCCTCCGGCCAGGGCTGGGCTGCCCCGAGGCGAGGGGTCTGACTGTGCCACCGAGCCAGGCTCCCGGGGGCTGTGTCCACGCCTGCTCACCAGGCCCAACCCCCCCAGTGCTCCAGAACAGAGCCAGCCCTGTGCAGGGCCACTTGGGGCCAGACCCAGGACACACAAGCAGCAGGGACACCAAGCGGATTTGCTCAGCCCCTCAACAGCTCAGCCTGCCCCGTCGCACTTAGCCATGCTGATCCGGGACGGGGGCCGCGCCAAGTGGTCATGTGACCCACCAAAAAGCCATGGGGGGAGGGGCAAGGAGCCAGAGCCTCTGGCAGCCCAAGGGCATAGCTGGTGCCTGCAGCCGGGGCCAGGGCCGGGGCCGTGCCCTGCTCTCACCCCCAGCGGGCGAGGGGAGCAGAGAAATGCAGCTCCACTTCTCTGGCTCCTGGAGGGCAGAGCCGGGGGTCTTACAGCCGGGCAGCGCTGGGCCCCACCCTGCAGCACGGGCCTAGGCCTGGGGCGCCCAGCCCATCCCCGCCTCACCTGCCCGCTGGTCTCCCTGACGGCCAGCAGCACAGGAGAGCTCAGCTTGTCCATGCTCCGGTACATGCTCCGCAGGCTGAACCCGTCCCGGGCCGTGCAGTACAGCAGGATCCACGGGTGCCCGGTCACTCTCGGCGGGAGGTGGGGCGCCAGCTGGGAAGAGCCACAGAGTCATGCCCCCCAGGGCACCTCTCTGCCCCCACCCTCTGGAAGAGCCTCCCCGGCCCCCCCCCAGCCGCCAGCCCTCCGCCAGGACAGCACGGCCCTGCGGGCAGAGCAGCACGGAGGCAGCGGGGTGGCCCCGGCCAGGCCTTTCCCGCACATGCATGCTCCAAGCAGACCAGACCCTGCCCCCAAGGGGACAACGGTCCAGCGGGGGCACAGGCAGCCTGGCCCAGCGCAGGGAGCCAGGAGAGCTGAACGGGGCCCGGCCCCAGAAGAGGGAGTCCCTGGAAGGGGGTTTGCCTGTGGCCTGGGCAGCGACCGGCTGGGGCAAGGGGCTGATCAGCTGCGTTTATTAGTGGTGCTATGACTGCCTGGCGCGGGGACTCAGGACTCGGCTCCGCGGGGCGACTGGCTTGTGGATCCTGCCTGCCAGGATGTTGTCTGCGGCCGCCAGGTGGGGGCCCGGTGCTGGCCCGGGGGCTGCTCACCAGCGACAGGCTGTCTGGGGGGGACGGCCTGGGAGCCCCACAGGGCCGATTGCTGCAGCCGGCGCCGTTAGGAGAGAT